CCAATTCTACCTTACAAATCTGGATAGACCAGAGGATATACATTGGTACAGATAGCAACTGGAAACACAGGGAATCCAGGACAGATGACCCCTGCAGGACCAGTGGTGAGAGTGGCGATGCCTGGAGGGTGGAGGGGATGTGGGGTGGAAAGAGGGAACCAATTACCAGAATCTACGTATAGCCTCCTCCCTGGGGGGTGGACAGCAGAGAAGAGGGTGTGAGGAGATGTCGGACAGTGTAACTTTATGACAAAACAATAATTTATGAATTATGAAGGGTTCATGAGGGAGGGGGGAGCGGGGAGGGAGGGGGGAAATGAGCAGCTGATATGAAGGGCTCAAGTAGAAGGCAAATGTTTTGAAAATGATGATGGCAACAAATGTACGTATGTGCTTGACACAATGGATGGATGTGTGGATTGTGATAAGAATTGTACGAGCCCCCAATAAAACAATTTTTTTTTAAAGATGTACATTGTGGCGATGGTTGCAGCGCAAACCTGAGTACACTAGAAGTCCCCGATTACGCACTCGGTGGGTAAATTGTATGCTACGGTCATTAAAGCTCCATAGAACTGCTGAAAAGACACAAGTTGAGCTTTACGTCATGGAAGCATTCCGTCATTGAAGAAGTAATGGTGAAACTTCCGTACCGCCATCTTCCAACCCCTGCTGGCACCGTGGACGAGCACTTGGCTGCTAACTGAAAGACTGGCAGTTGGAACCCCTAGCTGTTCCACGGGAAAACGATGTGGCAAGTTTGCTCCCATAGAGACTGGGGTAGTTAGCTTGTTGTGCCAACCTGGCCGATAAGCACATGTGGGGTTAATTGAAGGGCGGAGGGATAAATGGCTCGGTGAGTCTCGCCTTTCTACTTCTCGGGTCTCTTGCTTTATGACGGTCGGACCAGGGTGCAGCTGCCTTAACCAGTTCCCTGCTTCAGCTGGCAAGGTTCACTTCCTGCAAGACATCCCCGAGGAGAAGCCACATGGAGACCCCTGCCAGCGCTGAGATGCTTACACATTCACTGATTCGGCTTTCCTCCTGTAGTCAGTGTCACTGCGTGTGTTTTGTGAGATGGAGGAGGACTTTGTGGATTGGGGTCGGACAAATGGGCTAATGTTGGACTTTTGGGCTTGGACAGCACTGGGGTGGGATGTTTTCTTGATGTGCACTTACCCTTGAGTTACTGTGGATTTGTTTCTCTAAAGTACTCAGACTAACACAGACTGTAACCTTGAAAACCCTACATAGCAGACAGTTCTACTCTGTCCTGTAAGGTCACTCGGAGTGGAAATCAATGTAACAGCAATGGGTGAGTGAGTGAGTGGAAAAGGGTCCTTAGGTGGTGCAAACAGTTAAGCACTCATCTACTAACCAGAAGGTAGGTGGTTTGAGTCCACCCTGAGGTTTCTCGGAAGTAAGGCCTGGCAATCTACTTCCCCCTAAAGCAGCCACTGAAGGCCCTAGGGAGCACAGTCTGACTCACCCCCAGGGCGTTGCCGTACGTACGTCCGAACCGAGGGGACCACACAGGTCTTTTGGTTCGTGAATGGTAAGCATGCAGCAGTGGGCAGCAGAAGGTGACAGCATCCCCAAACAGACCCCCAGCCCATCACCACCTCTGATAGAACCTTGCACCACCATCATGACCCCTACTCCCTGCCCACACGCACAGACACAAACACAAGGAAGACTGGAGCTGCTCCAGCCGATCAATGGGCAGGGAACACAAGAAGCTCTTCCTGAACTGCAGGGGAAAGTAGTCAGCAAGATCCAGCCTATGGGAAACGGGAGAACTCTCTCAGGACACGTGGTCCAGTTGATCCAATCAACAATTTAGGGTAGAGAAGAGACGGGTGGGGGTGGGGGTGCACGGACTACAAATGAAAAGACATTTAAAAAGGCTTTTTTTTTTAAATGGCCAAATTAGCCTTCAATGTCTAGGGATGATGCAGCTGGACGATTCAATGTGTTCAGAGCAAGGGAGAGAGGGCATCTAGTCAGCACAGCTGTTGGTCTTGTGGAGGAAAGGGAGCTGGCACTGCCAGGCGGCCCTTGGTGATTCTGGGCTTGGCTGGCAAGGCTGTCTCCTGATCTGGGCAGGAGATGCAGGGGGTCAGCCGTTAGAAACCCCAGTGATTGTGAAAAGGGAGTCATTCT